ACTAACATCCTGTCTGAAGCACCACAGGGGAGCTCGCTGATGCAGATTTACTGATGTGGCTTTTGGGTGGCAGCTTATCCATCTGTATCCTGCATCCTGCTACCAGCTGGAAAGAATGGAGCAAACTTAAAAAAACCCAACAACTACTACTTTTTATTTCTCTGCGGAGTCAGGAACAAATAGTTGCACTAAAATCAGAGTCAGGTTTAAATGAAACCTGCCTCCACGAATACATAACATCAAGTTTGAAGGTTTTTACAAGATTGGCCTAGACAAACTCTAGAGAAAAGTTTATTTACCTAACACAGAATGGTAAATGTCAAGCAGCAGCACAACATAATTATTTCTATGCTGGAGTCGCGTGATAGAACCAGGCCATTAATCACAGCAAAGCAGCAGAAGAATTAAGGGGGAAAAAACCTTTAAAATGATGTGCCAGCTAATGAAATATCGCACAAATTCACACAAGGCTAAACAGCTTTTGCACGTCCATCATCACCATTATTCTACCGCCTGCAAAAATGTATTCATCTCATCAGCTCAATATCTTTATGTTTTTTAATGCTTACTAAATCCTCTTAACAGGACAGGGTTTATGGACTGAGTGAAGTCAGCCTGCAGGTTTTTAAAAAGCCCCTCTGACTTGTAAAAAAAAGTATTAATTTTTCATGTCTGTTTTCATCCACGAAGCACTAATTCAGCTGACACCTGCCTTTAACTTTTAAGTCATGAATCAGAAGCTCAGATGAAAAGGGGGGGGGGAAACGGCAGAAATAAAATGATGTAAGGAGTCTGGACTGCTCTCATGGGCAAAATAAACGGTACGCCCTGAGGTGCGTACGCGAGTGTGTCTCATGAGCAGTCCCCCTGCGTATAATATGTGCAAGAAACAAACCAGCCAGTCTTTGGAAAAGCAGACATACTCCAACACAGTTTTCAGACAAAATTAGACCCATCGGCACATAAAATAGGCCTCCGGCATACCACGAGACAATCCCACAACCCAAACTGACATTGCTCCAGAGCTGCCTCCACTTAAAGACCGAGCAGGGTCTCTGACTCTACTGGAGATTTTTCTGTTGAG